AGTCAGTTGAGAGTTTATGGGTTAGGATTAGAGGGCAGACCAATGTGGGTAATTTTGTGTTGGGTGTCTGGCACAGACTGCCTCATTAGGAGGAAGTAGAGAGGTTTCTGGAATGCACTGATGATAAATTCCTGGCAGAGGTGATCAAGGAGCTGACAAGGAGAGGCACTCTCCTGGACCTGATACTTACAAACAAGGAAGTACTGGTTTGGGATGTGAAAGCTGGGGATAGCCTTTGCTGCACTAACCACAAGATGACGGAGTTCAGGATCCTGAGAAAAGGGAACAATGCAAATAGTAGGATCAGAATCCTGGACTTCAGAAGAGTAGAGTTTGAGCTATTCAGGGATCTGCTTGGAAGACTCCCATGGGAGACGGTCCTGGAGAGAAGAGGAGTCCAGGAGACCTGGTTGGTTTTCAAGGAGCATGTCCTCCAATCTCAATAATGGTTCATGCCAATAAGCAGGAAGTCAAACAAGGGTGGCAGAAGGCCTACACCAAAGACCAAGATGCTCCTTACAAAACTCAAATGTAAAAATGAAGCATACAAGAGGTGGCAGCAGGATCATGCAGCCCAGGACGAATACAAAGACGCTGTCCAAGTGTGCAGGAATGGTGTTAAGAAAGCCAAAGTCCATCTGGAATGGAATATGGCAAGGGATGTGAATGGCAACAAGAAGGGCTTCTACAGGTATATGAGCAGCAAAAAGACTACTAGGGAAACATGGCCTCTTAGCTGAAAGGGGCAGGGGACTTAGTGACAAAGGATGCAAAAAGGCTGAGCTACTCAGTGCATTCTTCGCATTGGTCTTCACTGGTAAGACTGACCTTCCAGAATCCCAGGTCCCTGAGGCCAGGGAGAAAGTCTGGAGCAAGGAAGACTTGCCCTCAATGCAGGAGGATCAGGTTAGGGAACTTTTAAACAAAGCGGACATACACAGTTCTCCATCCTTGGAGATATTAAAAACCTGACTGAACAGTCTTAGGCAACCTGCTCGGTTTAACCCTGCTTTGAGCAAGGGGCTGGACTAGACAATCTCCTGAGGTCCCTTCCAGCCTCAGGTATTTGGTGTTTCTGTGAATCTGTCCTATCAGTGGTGAATGAATAACACAGACTGAGTGGGATGTATCAGACCAGAATTCTTACGCACATAGTGTGAAGCGGTGTCTATTTGTGCACAATGCAGACGAGCTGAAGCAGGATGCGTGTTAGAAAGGCATTTCCAGTCAAGGACAAAAGAATGTGGCATAGTGCTTCCACTGCAAACCACCCCAGCTACCCCCCGGTATGGACATGATCTGCCCACCCAAAAAGTCCCTGAAACCTTGAGAGTTTAAAAATAAACCCAGGTCATTGTATTTGACCTGCTATGCAGTGCTTTTTCACATACCTACCACAGGCAATAAATACATAGTGTACTGCAGAAACACAAATAGATTATCTATGATAATATTGTGCTTTGCAATCATTTGACCAGTATAAATAGGAAATGACACAGGCAGAAAGAGAAGCCTCTCATTCGGCCTTAATTAAACTATCTTTATTAAAGGACTGTTATCTTCTCAGCAAGAGAGAACCCAGACAGAACAACTCCTAACAGCACAGAAAACCAAGGCATCAGCTTGGATACTGATGTAACATCTTTCTCATAAGAGAGTAAAACATTTTGCCTTAATTTGGCCAAAACACCAAAGCAAATTTCAATTTCACCTATAACAAAACCAAAATAGAACACAGATAAAGCAGCCCAGATGAGTAATCTCCAAATGAATAATCCAGCGTGATCTCAACAGATGCTGAATTGATGTTCAGCCCATAAAGTTCTGTACCTATCTCCCACCCACCATCTCTGAGGGGAGAATGCAGTCCTAGGCAACTGGGAAGATCGCATCTGCATGGCACATTCAACATTCCATCAAAATCCATGGCACGCATTCCATGGCCGGATCTGGGAGGAGTTTCTTTAGCCATTATCCCCTCTATGGTCATCCTTTCACTCTCTCTGTATTCATAAATATTTAGTTATCTGTGTCATATCTCAAATGACATTATAATTTAAGATGATGTCCAAGAAGATATTAGTTTTTGTTACCTCAGGCAGTGGAAGGATAAGAACGCAGTCACTCTCCAAAGCGAGTAAATACCTTGATTGATCATTGAAACCCTAGGTTAAAACTGGTTGCAACAGTTCCTTTTCTGCTCTCATTTCATAAGACAATACTGACTTAACTTTCTAAATCCAGGAAAAGGATGCATCTGTCTCTTCAAATACAAATACAGGAATCTAACTTTAATGGAGGAATGGGGCTTAATCTGTACTACTGTCCACAACATCTTCTACAGGTAGCTTCCAGTCCAGCATGGTAACTTAGCAGTTATATTTTAGAATTTGCTTTATGAATTTATAAGTTTCAGGCATGCCTCTATTAGCACTTCAGTACTTACTTGCTGCTGAAGTTTTATGGACAAGATCTACTGCCTACAGAAAGACAGTGCACAATGTACAGCTGTAATAATTTGCCAGTGGATTTTGACTTTGTACTCCAAACTACAGAAATAACACAACATTATACAACAAAAAAGACATCTTTAAAATATATGTATTTTTAGATTAGCAGAACTACTTCTTCTCAGCTAACTAGGAATGTAAAAAATGCAAATGCACATATGTGCATGTGTGCTTCAACTCAAGACATAGACCAGACATGAAAAATTTTAGGTCAAACATTTTAGCTGCCAGAATAATCAGTTGAAAACATAAGAGGACATGACTGGGGAAAAAAGTAAGTCATACATGTGGCATAAATGCTCGCTTAGAATTTGTAATTTTTCATTCTGTTACAGTTTGCCAGAGTTTGACACCCCCAGTGTGGAATATGGCATCTAATACAAAGCAGATGAAACAAGACACCATGCGTGCTGGGAAAAATAAGCAAGGAGTAAGAACCAAGAATGGAGATATATCCAAAGGAATAAGTGACATGGAAATACTTGTCAAAGAGAGGAAATCGTACTTGCAGAAGGAATACAAGATTCTCACTGAACATATGAACACATACATGGGAAGAGTGGAGCATTTCCTGCAGGAAAATAAATTCCTAGAAAAGGAGGCCAAACGGAATCAGGAAGAGAGCAATGCTTACCTCTCTTACATAACAAAACACAGCCAGAAGTGCCAGAATCTGATAATAACATTAAATGACCAAAATCACACTGATCTGTCTCAAGTCTGGATGCAGAAAGAGAAGCTAATCTCACAGTATACAGAAAAAGAAGAGGAGGTAAGGAGCTCTCTGATGAATATGGAGACGAAGTACTCTCTTATGAACAAGGAGGTTGAAGACCTGCAGACTTTCAAAGATCCATCTATTCAGCTGGAACAGATGAAAAAGATTAAAGAGCTGGAGAAGGAATTGTTGGTCACAAAGATACAGCATTCAGAGGAAATGCACAAAATCAAGAGCAGATTTCTGAAGGCCAAGGCTGACTGTGAGATGGACTTTCATCAGAAGATCCAGGTTCTCACCAAGAGAGCAGAAGCAGCAGCGATACAATCTCTAATTCAGCATATCGAACAAGTAAAAGCAGAGAATTGGCATCTGCGCCAGGAATTGCTCAGACTCATCCAATACTCAAAAATCCTTAAAGAAACCAAAGTTCAACTGAAAGAGCAGCAGCAGCAGCTTCTTCGGGAGAACCAATACACTCAGGACATGGCACACATGCGCCACTGGTTACACCAGCATGAGGCACACCGTGCAAACAACAAAACCTACAGCTCTCACAGCTTGTTCAGATGTGTCCCATTAACCTAAAAAACCCCACTTCTCCACTCCTCACTCATGCCAATATATCAGTAGACATAGCTGGACTGTCAGCTCTTGCCACTATTAGGTAACAGAGTATGCGGAAGTAAATGTTCTGTGGGTGGATGAAAGGACTGATTTACATAGCTCATGCTCAGCATGCAATCCAGACAACAGATCTTAAAGGTAACCTCAGCTTTAACTTTCATGACAACTGTATTAAGACATTTGAAACTGCAATCCCTTCATGTTCCAAAATAAACAATGACATTTGCTCTTTGAGATCAGACTTTGATGTTTCATTAATTAGTAATTTTACATGGGCAAATTATATTCTTAGACATAGTGAGCCAATCTCTATATAACTTTTCATTGCAAACTACATCTACTACATTTACCTGCCTAGTGGACGAGGGAAAGGCTGTGGATGTGGTCTACCTGGACTTCAGTAAGGCCTTTGACACCGTCTCCCACAGCATTCTCCTAGAGAAGCTGGCGGCTCACGGCTTAGACAGGTGTACTCTGCGCTGGGTCAAAAACTGGCTGGACGGCCGGGCCCAGAGAGTTGTGGTGAATGGAGTTCAATCCAGTTGGTGGCCGGTCACGAGCGGTGTTCCCCAGGGCTCAGTTTTGGGGCCAGTTCTGTTCAATATCTTTATCAATGATCTGGACGAGGGGATCGAATGCACCCTCAGTAAGTTTGCAGACGACACCAAGTTGGGCGG